CCAGTATACAAGTGGCTTCTGCAATCTTTTTCAAGATCATATATGGTCCTTCCTAAAGTGCAAAGAATTTGGCGATGCATTTATTTGCGGGGTCCGAGACATTACATGCTTTTATCAAGACCATGTCGCCTTCGTTGTATTCGGTGACTTTGTGTTTATTATCGAATTTGCCCGCTCTTTCGTTTGCCTTTCTTTCGAATGCGGTCTCGTGCTAGGCATAACTTCACCTCATATTCTTTCTTATCAGGTGGTGCCTTTGAGTTTTTTTTTTATGTATTTTTCCTAGAGCCTTTTGGGCTGCTGGATAAAATGCAATTCTACCGGAGTGAATCCAGTGGTGTCGTGATGGACTTCATTGATGCAATCTTCTATTATGGGAACCCAGCTGATCCATGTGTTGTGTTTTTTCTTGAGAAACGTCCTGAAGAAGCGTGACAGTTTCCGGTTTACTCGTTCGACGATGTTTCCTTGTAGATGACGTATCGAGGAAAACACGGATTGTATTATTTCTTCTTTTAATTTATTCAACCAGAGACTTGAAGTGAATTGTGTCCCGTGGTCGAACTGTATTCTTTCAGGTTTCCCATATTTGGGGATGTATTCCTCGAAGATTTTCTGAATGGTCGCTGGTGCTGTAGCCTTTCTTAAAGGATAAAGCACTACGATTTTGCTGAATGCATCAATTGTCACTAGGATGTGTTTAAACCCTCTCTTCGCTGTTGGAAGGGGTCCGAAGAAGTCAATAGATACCAATTCATGAGGATGGATAGGGTAATGTTTTGCATTGCTGCATAACTGGCCTGGTTGGGTACCTTGGATCTCTGGCAGGTGTCACAGGTTGCGAGGAGCTGGCGGATGTGGCGCAGCATCTTCAGGAAGCTGAACTCTTCTGCAATGATGAAGTACACCTTGTTTGGTCCTACACGTCCGTAGATTTTACGTAGTTCCCAAATCATTTGGCTGATTACCGCGGTGGGTAAAACAGTTTTCCAGGCATATTTTCCTACTCGTTTCTTCAGTAGCTGTTTTTCCAGGAGGTACCTTTTCTTCTGCTTATCCGGATTCTGCTGGAGTTTTTCCATGATCTCGGCAAGCTGGGGATCCTGCTTCTGGAGCTGACTGAGATTTCGTAGTGCCTTGATTAATTCATCCGAAGTATTTTGAGTTAATATCTCGGCAATGGTTATCTCACGATGAGATTTCTTCCGTTCCTTTTCCTCGTTGAATGGCAGGCGGCTTAGGACGTCCGCTACTGTGTTCTTCTTCCCTGGACAGTGTTCGATTTCTAAATCGTAGTCCTGAATTTGCAGAATCCATCTTGCCAATCGTGCGTTTGGGAAGCGACTGGTTTTCAAGAAGGTCAGTGCTTTATGATCAGTAATAATTCTGATGTGTTGTCCATGTAGATACGTCCTGAATTTTTGGAGAGCCCAGACAATCGCTAATAATTCATTTCTGTAGTATAATAGCCGATTTCTGCTCCCTTCAGTGTTCGACTGGTGAACCCGATAACCTCGTCTTCACCTGCTTCGTTCCTCTGAAACGGGATGACTCCTAAGGCGTAGTCGCTAGCATCTGTTTGGAAGTAGAATTGCCTGGTGAAGTCCGGGTGACGTAAGCTGACTTCTTCGCAGAAAAGTGTCTTGACTTTCGCGAAGGCCTCTTGATGCTCAGAAGTCCAGTTCCATTTTACTCCTTTTTTAATTAGTTTTAGGAGAGGTACGGTGTCTTCGGCATGTTTATTGGTGAATTTGGAATAGTAATTTACTAATCCTAAAAATCCTCGAAGTTGTTTGATATTCTTAGATTCCGGAAAATTCTTGATCGCTTCTATTCTTTCAGGTTGCGGTTTCAATCCTTCCGTTGTGAGGATATGTCCCAAGAATGCAACTTCGTCCCTTAGGAATCCGGATTTGCTGAAGTTGATTGTCAGGTTATGTTCCTGCAATCGTTTCAGTAATGCTTCGAGATGGTCCATGTGTTCCTCGAATGATTTGGAAACGCATAGAATGTCATCTACAAAGTTGATGATGTTGTCCCCCAGACCACGTAAGGCATAGTCCAATACTCTTATTAGGTTGGCACTACTTGTCTTCAGTCCGAATGGTGTTACTTTAAATTCGTAACTTTTCCCTTTATGTAGGAAGGCGGTGTATTTTCTTGAATCCGGATGGAGTGGGATTTGCTAGAAGCTACTGACTAAATCCAAACTCGTCATCATCTTCACACCGCTGCATCCTTGGAAGAGTTCTTCAGTAGTTTGAGGACATTCTGCATCTGCGACGAGGAGTTCATTTAGCTTGCGGGCGTCAAGGCACAGTCTGACGGATCCATCCTTCTTGGTTACCGGTACAATCGGGTTGACGTACGGGCTATCAGATCTTTGGATGATACCGTAATCCAGCATCCGTTCAATTTCTTCATCGACGGCACTTCGAAGTTTCATTGGTATCGGGTAGGAGCCGTTGACGAATGGTTTTTCATCTGACACATTCAGTTTGTGTTCGTAGATGTTCATTCTGCCTGGTCGCTTATTGAAAACACCTCGATATTTCCATATGGTCTTCTTGAAGCGGTCTAATTGATACGGGCTGAGTCTCGTGCAGCCGGCAAGTTTCTCCTTGACTTCTTGCATGGTGATGCCGTCTTCTCTTTCTGGTTCTTCCTTGTTGATGGGGTTGCATTCCGGAGTTGAATCCTTCGTGTTGGGTTTTTCCGTTGGCTGAGCTAAGGAAATAGACAATTGTTCATCCGTGTTGTTCAGGTATATTCTATTTTCTCGGAGGTCGATCTTCCCCTGGTGTATCCGTAGGAAGTCGATTCCGATTATGCAGGTTCATATTAGTTTTGGGATCACCATAAATATGGTATCTAAGCCTTCTCCTGTTATGTTTATCTTGGCCAGGATTTCTTTTTTGATTCGCACTGACTTATGGGTTGTCGCATTTGTCACGTATACCCATACCCACTATTGGAAGTGTATGACAATGTCTAAAATTCTTTATGTACTGATTCACAAAAGATTCAGAAAGAGCAGTGACTTGACGTCCAGTGCCTATAAGTGCTTTCGTCTTGATTCCTTGGATGACGACGTCGATTTCTGAGCATTGCAGTGGACGGCCGTCTCCTTGTGCTTCTTCTTCCTCTTCGAAGAGATTGTTGCACGTCAAGATGTGTTCGGGTTCTAGCCAAGCAAAGTTGATTGTGTTTATCTCATTCATATCCGGTGAGTTCTTTTCCAGTTTCGTCATATACGTTGTGGACGCGCCTTGGTGTCCCTGGCTAGTGCGGGGCACCTTGGTGGCCACATCGTTTCTTAGTTTTCCTAGGCTTTTGGCTTAGGGCAGTGGCTCTCTCGGGTGGACTCCTCCCCTGGATCCGTTTCACGGGGTTCAGTCCGTTGCGCAGATCGCCGGTTTCCTTGCGTTTCCTCCGTTTGGATGGCGTTCGCTTGATGATAGCCTGCTCGGTTGAAGTTGTTATTCCGTCCTTGCTGCTGATTATTTGGTCGAGGACGGTTATTCGGAGTCGCCTGCTGGTGAGGTTGTCTTGCTGGAGGCTGACTGTTCCGCGGAGGTGTTGTTGGAGGTGCAGCTCTCGCTCCCGAGTTCGTCCTTTCCTTGTTTGATGCTGGTTCGCTTCTAGTCTCTCTTTCTAGTTCATGCCGGGACGGACTCTCGTATTTTCGGTGTAGCTCGGTGAACGCGTTTATATCGTCAATCTGTTTTCCGTGGATAATAAGACTTAGTGTCTTGGAAAAGTGATCCGCCAATTTATTAATAATTTTAGCTGTGGGGAGAGATGGTTCTAAGTCTTTGGCCTCGTTGAACATTTTCGCCGCATATTCAACCGCCGACATTTTCTGTTTGGAAGGGTCGTATTTCCCGTAATGCAGATTTAGTGCTATCTCCTGCTGGATCTCACTATTCCAATACCGGGCCTTGAATTTTTCCTCAAGTTGTTGGACTGAACTGATACTGTCCTCCTGCACCTGCCACCAGTCTTGCGCCGTTCCATCTAGACCATTGGCTACAATGAATCGCAAATCTTCTCCTTGGGCCTGCGTTGCCCTTAAGTAACTCGACATTTTCTTTAGGTATGTGAGCGGACGCTCATTACTTGTGTCCTTGAATGTCCGTGGTTTTATCGATATTGCGTTGGGTCTTAAAAAGCTTATTCCTAAACTTTCGTTTGGCCTAATTGCTGTGATACTTTGTCTTTCTCTTGGCGGAGTATCCCTATGGGTTTCACGATATGAGATCCTCTCCATTTGTTCCCTTAGATCCTGTATAATATTAACTAACTTATGGTGTTTAATCTCTAGATCCGCGATATCTATCCTTGTAATCGCGAGATCTACCAGCTGTCTTTGCTGAGCTTCTTGGTGCTCTCGTCCTGACTTCTGCATTTCTGCTTGTATCAGTTCTAGCAGATTTCGCGGTAGTCTTTCCTCAATGATTTTTCTTAATTCATGATTATCGCGTTCTAGATCGCTCACCCTATGTCTTAATTCTATCAACGCTTTTGCGTTTGCGTCCGGATCTATAGGACTTTGTTCGAGGATTTCCGCCAAATCTAACTCGCTTGCTAGATTTACTCCTGTTATCGGGTTTCTTTTAATATTGTGTCTTGGATGTGTCTCCACGGGACTATCCATAATTATATCCTCTGACTCTTCAAATCGTACGACGGGATTTCTTCTATTTTCCCCGGTTGGTTCAAGTGCAGTACTTGCAAACAACGTCTCATTTTCATCGAGCGGTCGGTTAGTTTGATACCCTGTGTCGTGGGAGTCCTGTTCCTTATTTTCGGCCATATCTAAAGTTTTCACTGTTTCGATAATCAAGCCTTTTTAGTTGCGCCAGCCCCACGTTGGGCGCCAATTGTAACGTTTGTCGATAGTGCAATTTCGTACGCTCCTTATGAGTGTACGAAATGGGATGTAGGTAAGTGCTTGGGGCTGGCGTCTTTAAGAATGTAGTCGACACAGGATGGTAACGTAAAATAAAATAACAAAATTTTATTAAATAATCGATACAGTAGTTTTATAATCGGTGACAATTACCTAGTCGTAATCTATTGTCGGTATTTTAGGAAAAAGGATTGTCTAGGAGTCTGCCTACGTTTGTTGTCTATCCCTATCTCTCTCTGACCTGTGCGTGAGGTAACAGAGGATCTGCCGGCGTTGGTTTGATAACCCTAGTAGCATTTTGCCTACCTAGTGGCTATGGCACTGTATGCGACGCAACTCCTAACGGCGCGGATGACAGATTACAAAATGGCGATAACAAAAGTCTCTGCGGAAGATCACGGTGGTCTCCGCAGAGCTTTGACAACCTTTCTACGCGAGATCTACTTGGAGTAGCAAATGCTAATTTCCCGTAGCCTCTCGACACGATTATGAACTTTTTGACTATCTGACAGATTTCGATTTATGTTACGTATGCTGTGCTTCCGTGACACTTATCGAGAATTTTGTACTTGGTCTGTTCGGAATCTCTGATTATCCTCTCTAATAACTCAGGTTTTCGACTATTATGACTTAACTGACTTTGATTGGTCTGAACTGTTGTGTTCAATGACCTGTAATCCGATATTTGTTAGCGGGAAGCGCTAATGATCTAGCGGATTATTTTGATATTATTTTTCCGCGGTGTGACTTTCGGGAGACGTTCTTCATCTATCGGCGCGTGTTGATACTAGCCGCGTGTCCTTGTCGTCCCTTGGTAACGGGTGCGCTCTCAGTACAGGAGTACTGAGAGGTTGATCGTTTTGTCACGTTACAATATGCCACTTCAAAGTGAGCAATCAGAGAATGATAGTTTTTTAGCCGATGTATCATCAATCGCGCAAAGTCTAACATCTGTGAGACCAGACCAGCGGAATAATTTTGTTAATCTTATGGTGAAGCACAAACGCCTATTTTCTGATAAACCTGGTTTCATAACCCATTATCAACATGAAATCCATTTAAGTAAATCTAAACCCTACATAAAACGATCATATCCTGTACCATTGGCAAAATGTACAGCTGTTGAAAAAGAATTGAAAATGATGTTAGAGGACGGTATCATTGAGCGATCTTGTAGTCCTTACTGTAATCCATTACGTATAGTAGAGAAAAAAGATGGTAAAATTCGATCGTGCCTTGATGCAAGATTTTTGAATGATGTAATAGAAGGAAATAATGAAACACCACCTTTAATTTCTGAATTATTACAATGCCACCATGGAATACAATGTATATCCACAATGGATTTAACTCATGGTTATTGGTAAGTACCGTTAGCAAATACTTCAAGACCTTATACAGCGTTCTTATACAATTCAACTCTATATCAGTTTTGTAGGATCCCTTTTGGGTTACAAACGGCAGGTAGTGGATTCATAAGAGCATTAAATTTGGCTCTGGGAGATAATTTTAAAGATTTTCTAGTTTCTTATATTGATGACTTACTTGTTACGTCCAAAAATTTTGAAGAACATCTATGTCACTTGGACTTATTATTTACGCGGTTATCATCCTATAATTTCACACTACGGTTATCCAAATGTAGATTTGGAAAGGTGTCTGTGCCCTTTCTTGGTTTTGTTTTATCAATTGATGGTATTAGACCAGATCCTTATAGATTAAAGATTATTACCAAATTTTCGGAACCGCAAAGCAAAAAGCAACTTCAGAGCTTTTTAGGAATCTGTAACTATTACCGAAAGTTTAAAATAAATTATTCTAAATATATACAACCTTTTCGTAGTCTTCTGGGAAGCAATAATCATTGGACATGGACAAAAGCTCATTCTATTGCTTTTTAAGAATTGAAAGATGCATTCTTACAATGTGTTGTACTAAGACATTTGATTCCGGGAATCGTTCTAAAGGTACAATGTGATGCAAGTGACCTTGGCATTTGTGGAATTTTATATCAATGAATCATAATGGGGAGGTCCATATCTATAGTGAGTCGATGTTTGACTTCCCCTGAAACAAGGTATAACACAACGGAAAAAGAATTATTAGCTATTGTTTATGCAATACAAAAGTTTCGAGTATATTTGATAGGTACTGAATTTAAAATTATAACTGATCATCAGGGACTAACTTTCTTAAATAATGCTAATTATACAAGTGCACGCCTTTCAAAATGGAGTCTTCTATTACAACAGTATACCTTTAACATTAGTTACTGTAAAGGGTGGGATAATATTGCAGCCGACTTTTGCAGTCGAAACCCAAATGAACAATTTCACTTAGAGAAGCAAGAACATCCCATGATTTCCTTATGTAAATATTTACCACCTAATGACTCCAGCAATTCTTTAGATAATTCCTTGGTTATTATTTGTAAATTCGATGAAGACACTGAAGTACAAGCACCGTTAAAGGATATAGTCAAAGCACAAAATATCGATGAATCTATTATTGATATTAAAAAGGAATTATTGAATGGATGTAAATTAGAAAACTATCAAATTTATCATGATTTACTATTTACTGGTAATTCGAAAACTGAAGATTGGCGTCTTATAATTCCTAATAAATTGACCCCATTATTAATTAGTATTTGTCATCGGAAAATTGGTCATGCTGGAACATATAAAACTTTCGAATACATGAAACGATATTTTTATTGGAAATCAATGCGACAAAATGTAAAATATTTCGTGAAAACTTGTGACCTATGTCAAAGAGTGAAGCCTAACATGCAAAATATGCAAGGGGAATATCAGCTTATTACTGCCGATCGTCCAAATGAATTGGTGACTTTAGATTTTTATGGACCGCTTCCAAAATCGAGAGGAGGGGTACAATACATTTTCGTTCTTTTGGATGTATTTTCTAAATTCATCCGATTGTATGCACTTAAAAAGGCTACAACTCGGGCTGCCCTTAATAAAATATTACATGATTACTTTTCGAATACCGGAAAGCCAAAACGTATCTTCGCTGATCACGGAACCCAGTTTACCGCTAATTTGTGGAGGAAAACCTTGCAATAAGAAGATGTTAAAGTACTTTTTTCGTCTATACGTCATCCTCAGTCCAATCCCACAGAGAGGATTATGAGAGAGCTTGGACGCCTTTTTCGAACATTATGTGCTGATCGACACACAAAATGGGTTCAATATCTACAAAAAATAGAAGAATTGTTGAATATAGCAAAGCATAGTAGCACCAGTTGTTTACCTCTTGAGTTACATTTTGGAATTAAAGTCCCAGATGCAATTACAAGATTTGTACAATTTCCACCAGGAACTCCAATTCCACGTGATACCCAGCTTTTGATGGCCGGGGAATGTATTGATAGGCAATTTCAATATCGGAAGAAACAACAGTCTAAAATCTCTCAAGTTAAACTAATAGTTGGAGACCTCGTCTTGTTGCGTATACCACATTTGTCAAATGCAATGGATTCGGTTACTAAGAAATTTTTTCATTTATATGAAGGGCCGTATAAAATTGTCAAATTAATTGGAAAAAATGCCTACGTTTTGTCTGAGAATGCTAATCAAGCTCACATCATAGGTACACAAATGAGTAATTAATTTATTAAAATTTTTAGTAAAAGAACCAAACCATTATAATTGACGTACGATACTACATAAATTGGTATATAAATATGTTATGTAGGTAGGTTAACGTAATCGTTATAGTGCTGAATAGCTGTATATTGATATGAGTGATATATGTATGAAACTCCACTTGACAATCTTAATACTGACAAAGTGCGAACAGCTTAATAGTAATGTATAAATTTGTAACCAGATTGCGCAAAAGACAACGGACTGACTGATGTTATGTTCCTTTTATATTACATACGACAAGCTTAATATAAGTATATCGAATTACCCCTATTTATGTCATGCGTAATTCGAGGGGGAAAATTGTAACGTGCGTTTACCCAGGGAGTTCCCTGCAAGTTAAATTGTAATTAGTATAAGGAATTGGCGAGCGGTGTCATTGGTTGAATTTCCCCCTCCCCTGTATTAGTCGTATCTGGCAAATTGATGGTTGCTGGAGTATCTTCACTGGAGTCTCTTCACTTAGGGAGTCTACCATTGAAAGTATAACATCGTGCAAGACAAAAAGTATTGGCCATTGGATTAAATCTAAAGCAGAATAAATATTTTTGGAAATGATCTACTATAAAAAAGGATCCACTCCTAATTGAAATTATATCGTAAGATAAAAAGGATCCATTAATAATTGGAAATATATCGCAACATTTGGATCCTATAATCATGCTGGAACCAAAGGAACAAATTAAAGAATACTGAGACGAGTAAGACAAGGGAGATACATCATCCACCAGCTGAAATCTACAAGACGTATTTATTACATAATTATATTTATTCATATTTTTATTATTAGTTTCTCATAACATGTTCCATTTCGATTATAAAGTGTCTTGCCGCCCTAAGTACGTAATAAGATAGGAGATAATAAGATAGGATATATCTATTTTATCAAATGGTAGATTCATAAAAGAAAACTATAATTAAATAATTAATAGTGTGAATATGGATGTTTTAGTGTGAATGCATGTTTGTATGTGATGAACCGGTCTATTGAGGCATCTGCTATTAAAGATTATAATTATAATTTATCTTGCAAATTCTGATTGTTCATTTATTTTATTATTTTATATATATGCCAAAATTGGTAAATTGTTAACCATCACAAATAAATGTCTTATAAGCAACTAAAATATATTACAATTGGCGCGCAATGTGAAATGCAAGATAAAAAATTAGTCTTTGTTATAGATCGTGTTTAAATTTTATATGTTAATATGAGTTTAAAGCATACGCCTATGAAAACTAGAAATCAGAGGAAAGAGAGTGATAATAATGTGGATATTGTAAGTGGAAAAGGTGATATAGCAGGCAGAAGTCAGGTTAGAGAAAGTAATCTTGAGAGTGATAGCAGGCAGGTTACGATGGCTGAGGGTCAAAATAATATTATGCCTAGTCAATT